AGTTGCTTGTAACAAGAAACACATTTAACTCAAAAGGAAATTCATAGATTAAAAAGTCAAACAATGAAAAACAATACTTTATGTCATGGGAACCAGTGCTTCTCTGGCCAGCGCAAGGGCCTGAGTTTAATCCCCGGTTCCTCAAAAAAAAAAAAAAAAAAAAAAAAAAAAAGATTTCAGAATCTATCAAACATATAACAAATTCTATAACAGCAATTAATTTTTTAAGTAACAGTAGCACAACTTAATTCTATTTGGAAAAACTAAAAAGGCTAGGTCAGGCCTTTCAAACGCAATGTAAGTATATTTTAGGTTATGATTCAAGGTAAATGGTGAGTGAAAGGAAGACCTATAAGCAAAAGGAAAATGGTACAAATGTACAACGCATGACTATTACAAGGAATGACAGTTGGTCAAATAAGCACTGAGTACACAATGTTTGAAATGGAAGAACAGGACCAGAAGCTAAAAGTATGGGTGAATTCAATAATTACATAGTACTAAGTATGACAGAGATATACTTAGTCCTCATTCTATTTGAACTGTTTCAGAATTTAGTAATCCAATCTATGAGGAAATGCCTGAGTTCTAGAGAAAGAACAGCTGTAAAAACAGTAAATAAGTAACTGAAAGAAAATATCATTTCTTCAGACCCAAAAGCTACAACTCTTGTTGCATAGGTCCTGCTTTACCTTGGTCTTAACCATCCAGCAGAAAAGTATAAAAACGAAATAGAAGTAGTAAAGCCATGGTGTTATGTTGAGCTGTAGGGGACTCAGGTCAACAATTTCTGACATTGCCAGTGAAGCGGAAGCCCCAATACTATTATGGACTACTGGACTCTTTTAGAATATTTTGCTGAGTTAACACACCTATAATATTCAAATAACGGAACTAAACAAAAAGGGGTTACAGATAAATGTCCATTTTGTATCTGTGTATTCAAAATGGTTAGAATATATAGTTACATTCTCTTAATGAATAGAGGGATTTGTTGTAATAGTGTTTGTAAATAGGATATCATGTCCACATCTTGTACAGCAATTAACCACTAGGAAGAATGTATGCAATGTGTTAATTATTGAAACTGTCCTACCAATTTGGTTTCAAACTGTCTCATTGCTATTTGTTTCTCAATAAAATTATGGAAAAAAAGAAAAGAGATGAAGTGAGGAAAGGAAAAGGGAGGGAGAAAAGGGGATAAAGAACTAAAGATGTGTCACGTACAGGCACCAATTCCCCACAAGGGATGTAATCATATGTATGAGTAATAAAAAATTGAGGGGCTGGGGCGATAGCTCAGCAGTCTAAGCACCTGCCTGGCAAGCATTAGGACCAGGAGGGAGGGAAAAGGGATTAAGAAAGAAATAAATAAATTACAGTTCAACTTAGATCCTTAAAATGTCCAATTATATAATCCCAGGCTGAGCCAGGGGGATCACTACAAATCTGAGCTGTGTAGTGAGACCCTGTACCAAATAATTTAATTAATTTTTAAAAACTGAATGAGAAATTACCAATGGTATTGATAAGCACAAATTGTTCTTTAAAGAAGACAGGCACTAGAAAAGAAAAACTCAGGTAAGGTAGTAAAATAAAGATATCTGATAACTTCTTATTCTCCATTTTAAAAATAAAAACATGTTTTAAATTGAAGATGCAGAGTCCGACAGCAAATATACCAATATAAAACGTGATGATGTGCTATACATCAGTTATATAATCAATGACATTTTATGTTATGATATATTGTTTCTATTTTATGTATTTGAAGATTTCCAGAGCAAATAAAAAGAATAATCACTAAATTTACCAATATAGGGACTTAGAAGCAAGTGAAAACTATGACAAAATCTCTTAAAGAAAAATGTCTTCTTTTTTCTGAGACAGAATCCTACTATTTGGTGCAGGCTAATCTTGAATGCATGGCAATTCTCCTACCTCAGCCTCCTCGGTGCTGCGATTAAAGACACACACCACCATGCTTGGCCAGAAAAAAAATTAATTGTTATTCAGTCTCACACTACAATAAAAGTTGAATCTTTTATAAGACAACATGGCTTCAGATGCTAGGTGATATTTTAGGAGGAAAACTGAAGCTTGAGGAAAACAAAAAGTAAAATATGTGCTGTGAAAAAAAAAACATTTTTGCATGAACTTAGGTTCTTTTAGAATTTATGCCAACACACATAGTGTTCAATTTCACAAAACATCTTCACAATTCAATCTTTAATATGTTATGCTTTATTTTGAGTGATTATAGTCTTTAAATAGTGAAAAACTACTGTGAATTAAAACTAAATTATAGTTCAACTTAGATCCCAATTATATAATTCTGCACAAATATTATAAGCACACTTAATTTTTGAAGCATATAGTTGCCTCAAAAGCCCAGAAGTAAAACATGTTCACCAAAGAGATGTGAAAAAGTTCCAAGTGAACTGCCAAAACTAGCATAATTATGAAAATATGTAACACTAAAACCATCTGAAATCACATACTGTGTATAGATTACAGTGATGTCATAATAAAACATTACAGCCAAAATGCACTAACACTATTTCAATCCAGTAAATCTGGAATATATGAGATGACAAATATTTTAAGACTGAAGAAAAACCTCGTCATTTATATTTTTAAAAAGTCATCTGCAGCAAAAGTAGTAGACTAAATATGAATTCCCAATGAGTTAAAAATACATTTAATAAAGCTCACTGACAAAGTATGTTGTTATTGTTCAAAAGGAAAGTAAACCACATAACTTTATTTACTTAAACAAAATCTCTAATATTGAAATTTTAGTATTCTTAAAAAAATAAGCATAAATCATGGCATTCAAAGGAATCTATGTTATGAAACAAGCATTATCAAATGTGTAAAAACTTTTTTCTTAATTGTTATAATTAGAAAATAAGGCCAGCCTGATAGCTCAGTGGACTAAAGCACCTGCTTAGGCAGAGCTCAGTGGCCAGGGTTCAATCCCAGCATACCACGCTGGCCCCACCCCCAGGGGCACGCTAAGACAGAGATGGACACTGGGCATAGTGGCACACGCCTGTAATCCCTGCACTTGGGAGGCTGAAAACAGGACAATCACTAAGAATACAATGTATGTAGTGAGATCCTGTAGAGCCTGTAGACCCTGTCCTAAAGAAAGAAAATAATCCTTTTGAAAATTTGAATTTATTTTCATTTCAACTACATTTTAATTGTATCAAGTACAAGTTGGCATCCATTCAAATCTTGCTCTAACCAAAGTAACTAAAATATGGCAAAACAAGAATTATGAATAGAAATACTGTTAAAATTGAAACTGTTTCCTTTAGTTTTGAGCTATACTAGTAGGCATCCCTTTGGTCTACTCATTGAAATCACCCAATCTAATAAAAGAAACTGTACTCAAAAATACTACCTAAAATATTTTGAGATAATTTTTAGCCCAAATACATCTTCCTAACTTAGGCTGCGACTTTTCCAAAGTTTTTGGTAAGTATATTTCCTAATAAAAGAATGTTTTCTCCTGAGAACCACATAGCTATTTCTGAAAATACCACCCTCTGTGCCTTAAGGAACAAGCAAGAATGTTATTTCCTTACAAAAGTTCCTAATAGAATGAAAATGTGACAAGTATCATACAAATGGATCCATTACCTTCATACTGACAAATCATGGCTGAATGTTGCACTCCCCTTAGCCTTTACAGGACCAGTCAAATAAAATTTGAAAACTATAAACTACCAATTCACAAGGATGTTAATGAGATTGAGGGCAAGACTTAGAGTGAATGATTAAATCATTCCTACCTAAAAACAGAAAAAAAAAAAAAAAATACAAGAAAAAGCAGAAGGAGAAACTGAGTGGTATAAGAAGTAATGTGCTTTTGTTCTTAAGCTTGTTGTCTCAAGTCTGGCAAGCAGAAAAGAACAAAAGAAATCACTTGGTATCTCTGGTCACTAAAAGGCTCCTAAAACACTAAGAATGACTTGGAAACAAACTGTGGTAAAACTCTTAGGAACATCTATTTTTATCCTGTCCAATACAAAGTACTGTGCCAACTGTTAGATACAATAAAGAATCCCTATGAGTAACACTGAACTTCAAAGAGTCAGAAAACCAAATTAACCAACCAACTTAAAGGTGTATCTAGAGAATGCAAGAGAGAGCCAGAGAAAATATATTCACTGGCCCTCATGGCAAAAACACTAATCTCTGATTTGCCTCTATACCCTGAGAAGTATATTACTAATTCGAGTAATTGCCATAGTTTGAAGGTATTTTCCAAAAGTTCACA